AGATATGATTTGATATATCATAATAGCTGATCGGACATTGTGACGTCACCATATTGCCATCCTGAAGTAAAAAAAACTGAATTTTTATATGATAAATACTATGAATGATCATTACTCCTTCACCAACAGGTGTTTGTCAATGAAAGTTGATACACATATATCTCATATCAAAAGAAGATGTGTATAAGAGACAGCTATTCTGATGAAGAAGGACAAATTAAAAAGGCTCCTGTCCCAAAGGTTGAAGTCCCGCTGCATAACATCACAAGTAAAGAAGGTGCCAAAGTGTCATTCAAGTGCCGAGTGACTTCCTCTGGAGATCCTACACTCAAGGTAGAGTGGTTCAAGGATGGTCAACCTATCAAATCAGGTATGGTTTTCTTATAGTTAATTGAAATGTATATCAATAGGTATTGTATAAAATTAGTTATTATATTTGTTTAATTATTGTGTATTATTGGTGATCCGCTACACTAGCGGATCACCTCTTGTTATTGTCAGGATCATCATCATCATCATTGGTGATCTGCTAACGTTAGCGGATCACCTATTGTTATTGTCAGGATCATTGGTGATCCGCATCTAAAAATTGGCACGAGATTCATACATGCACGCTTCAACAAAGATTTAGCTTGGCCTGGAATAGTCACAATAAAGTTTTCAAAGTGCGCAGTTATGCGTGACGTCATCTACACGCATTTTTGCGTTTTTACATTATCGATCATATCAGCCTAACCAATTGCCATTTTGAAATCGTATTAAGTGAGCATTAACTTCAAGTCAATGTTAAATGTAATTTACCCTAATTTTACAGGTGCGCGTCATAACGCGCGTGTACGCGTGCGTCAAAATTTTAAAATGATCGAAATCACATTTAGATTAAATTAGAGCACGTTTCAGGCCATTTTGAGCATTTCAAAATTTTTTGAAATTTACCACTACGTGTACGCATTTTTACGCGCGCAGCACGTATGGAAGCTAGAAAATATTTTTTTGTCACATTTTGGGTTCCTGACATTGTTTTGACAAGTTTCCAATCTTTCCAATCACTCTATGGCCAATAACAATGCCGTACGCACGCATCAAACATACCTTTGTGCGCATATGTGCCGATATACAGTGAAATTTTGCTAAAATCAACCTAATTTTAAACAGTTACAGCTCCTTAGGATGAAAGGTGACCCCCAATTTTTATTACATATTCTGAAAGCACATGAGTTACAAATATGATTTTATAGGTCATAATGGCTGATCGGACATTATGACGTCATCATATTGCCATCTGAATTCAACAAACTCAATATTATCGATTACCTCATTTTAGAAAATGCGCATTTGAGCGTATCTCGCTTATTCTTGATCGATTGTCTTCCAAATTTGAGTATGTTGTAGCTGAGGCAATTCTCTTTCATATATGTGGCATTTTTTTACATTTTGATGACGCCATCATGGTTAAAATATAGGGTTTTGCTTACCCCCCTCATCTTTCTTTCATCCAGCCTTTGATGACCCCATAATCACCTTAATCAGTCGTGATTTCTGAATCATATTTAGTGGGTATAAACTTCAGGTCATGGTTAAATGTTATGTACATTATATTTTTGTGCGCGCGTAATAACGCAAGCGTTCGTGTGCGTCAAAATTAATATATGCTTTATATCATGTCTTTTTTTAAATCAGTTATAGCTCCTTAGGATGAAAGGTGACCCCTAACTTTTATTACATATTCTGAAAGCACATGAGCTGTAGATATGGAGATATGATTTTATATATCATAATAGCTGATCGGACATTGTGACGTCATCATATTGCCATCTGAATTAAAAAACAAGAAAAAAATTATATTTCTTTTCTCAAAACGTTGATGACGTCATATCATGTTAACCATTCGTCATTTCCAAATAATATTAAATGGGCTTATACTTCAGATCAAGTTTGAATGTTAGGTATCTTACTTTTTTGTTTGCGCGTCTTAACGTGCGCGTACGCGTGCGTCAAATATTACATATGCTAATAATTATGCCTATTTATAATCAAATATAGCTCCTTAGAATGAAAGGTGACCCCCAATTTTTATTACATATTCTAAAAGCACATGACTTGTAGATATGATTTGATATATCATAATAGCTGATCGGACATTGTGACGTCACCATATTGCCATCCTGAAGTAAAAAAAACTGAATTTTTATATGATAAATACTATGAATGATCATTACTCCTTCACCAACAGGCGATTGCAAGTCCTGCGAAGGGAAGACTTCAATATACAATTACGGCCAGCGTCAAGAGGTAAAGTGTTTAAAGAAAATCTCAGCAGAATATTTGTAATACAAAATTATTTTCTTTAGAAATGGTTTGGAATGGGCCTTAGATGACCCTTACAACCTACCTGACTAGTAAATCATTTACACAACTTCAAGACATTTTCAGCTGGCATGAAATGTTCCCTCAAGCTGCAATTAATGTAGCATGTGATCTGATAGGTAATGGTGATTTTCATTCTCCTTACCATCCCCTGGCATAACATGGAATGAGGGCTTTAATACTGCTATTGGAAGAAGCTATTGATGTAATCAGGTAGAATTGATATACATTTTCTTAAAATACATCATTAGACATCCTCATAAGGTGGTTTAATTTTCTTTTTGAAGTTAAAAAATTGCTTAATACATTTCACTATGAACATGAGTTAAAGGTAAAACAATTACTGTAACTTTTTCTCTAATGCTTTGGTGGAGTAACTTGCTCTTGTTTCTGAGCAATGAGTTCTTTTAAACATTTAATGAAATTTGCTAAGTTAATAGTGACATCCAAGCAGTAGAACAGCCAGTAAAGCTTGGTTTCCATACATTCGCTACACGCTATTGTCAACAGCTTTTGGGGATGCTGATCGGTCAGTCGAATTAGGGAGCTTTCCCGATTGTGTCAGGGATTGCAACACATTACAACCTGTCTCTTATACACATCTAGATGTGTATAAGAGACAGATATATATATACAAGGTATTTATATAAAAATTAATGTATAATGTAGCAGTACAATTTATGTATGGCAGGATGTAGTTACTTATTATTGTATGTCATATGTTTCTGCTGTACAGGTTCTCGCTATATAACCAGTACAGATTTTGGAATCTGCACTTTAACCATTAACGGTATTTTCCCTGAAGATGCCGGTCGTATAACTTGTCTAATTACAAATGAAAGTGGTACTTGTCAAACTACTGCAATGCTGAGCTGTCTGTGTAAGTATTGACTTTTTTTTTGGTGAATCTTTTAAAGATTAATTTAAAATTCATATAACCATTATCTATGTCTCTATATTATATCTTTGATGCTTGCAAAACAAATAATAAACATGTGGAGGATTGGGGATGCTGGATCCATCATTGTATACTTACTGATAAAGCTGGTGAATAAAAACAGATAATACAAACACATGCAAATAAATCATAATTCTTTATTATTACTATATAAACATAAATTGAAAACATCTTGATGGCACTTTAATAAAAAAAATTAAAAAATGAAATTCAAAACAGTACAGTCAAATCAGTAATCAAATATCAATCAATTACTTTACTGATTGATTAACTAATCATTGTTAAATTTAATTACTCACAGCTAAAGGCACAGTCATTCTTGAAACTCAACTACCGGAAGAAATGCAGGGAATTCAGAAAACGCTTGCCTATGAAGAGGCTTTAAGAGAGTAAGTTATAAGTTTCATTATTAAACATCATCCTTGTTGTTATTGCTTTATTTACAAAACAAGCTGCAAAACTTGACAAAAGAAATAATATAATACAAAAATGATCCTAGCCTATAATATATTTACACAAAGTCAGGCAAACATTTAGGTTTTTAAGTTTTTTTTTAAATAAGGTCACATAATGCAGGACATTTGTTAAAGGTTAAGAGTTTTAAAGCTTGAATTTAGTCTTTAATGACCTTTCTGTTCAGTTCATTCAGTTGTACTTGCAGTTTACTTGTTAATTAATGATTACTTTGTATGTGTGCCCCTGTTTTAAAATCTTTGTTTCAGATAATGTTATTGTTATTACAGTAATAATACTGTCAATTCGATCTGTCTATCTTATCCTACATTGTATTTTCAGAGGAACATTGGCCACGGAGGATGAAGCATCGGAAGAGGATGAACCCGCCGAGCCAGTCTTTGTGAAGGTCCCAGAAGAGGTGAAGTGTGTTGAAGGAGGACCAGCTCGCTTCTCATGCCGTCTTACTGGTTATCCACTTCCAAGAGTGTCATGGTACAAAGATGGTGTACAGCTCATAGCTGTAAGTGAAGATAAGACAGCAAAGTTTAAGTATATTCATTGCCATCAAAATCATAATACAAGTAAAATATTACAATTAATATTGGTATTATTTACAAAGATAGTTGACACATTCTAGATTCACTGTTTTAACATCACTGTAATACCCTCCCACTGTATTCAGCAGCGGATTTAGGAAGGTAAAAAAAAGTAATAAAAAAGTAAATAAGAAATAAAAAAACAATTGATCGTCGAAAAAGCAATAGGGTAGTTATCTCGATTGGCCCCACATTCGCCTCCCCACCCTATCATGCCCCTCCCCCCTCGGACATATCTGGATCCGCCCCTGGTATTAGTTCAATTACTACTTACTGTTTTGTTGTACATTTCCAATTCAGATTTGTCTGTTCTTTTTTTTTAATAATTAATAATAATGATAATTATAGTCTATTTCGTGAATGCTTGCCTGGATAACCGACTAATTGCCATTGTTCCCAAAATGGAACACCCCTTCGAAAAAAAAATGGAACAGTTCGACCCAAGGCGCCACGTGCGAACCGTCTCCCTAACAAACGTCCTCATTCCCTTTTCGAAGTTGTTCGAAGTCGGATCGTCTATCCTTCGGAAAACTAGCAGGACTTTTCAAGCAATTCTGTTCTCCTAGGATTTATTTTCAACTAGTGGTTGACAAGATATCCTTTTATTTTTATTGTAGTCTCGATCGGTTTCCACGTCCGCTCGCAAGTGTTTATGCTCGGCGTGTGGGGGCCCCAAACCGAGTGTTAAGCTCGACCGGCACTCGGAGTGCCTGTTGTGTCGCTCGTGCAGCAAGGCTGAGACTTGCAACATTTGTGCGTGCTGGCCCCCGACTAAGTTTGTGGCGGCTCTGGATTGGGCAGCTCAGGCTGCCACTCGATCTCAGAGTTTGTCGGGGGTCGGCTGCGTCGGGGGTTGTAGCGGCACCGGATGACTCTCCACCACCGCTGGAGGGTTCGTCGGCTTCACGTTCGGCGGTTCCTTCCCCTCCACTGGACCCGGCGCTGGTTTCATTGATTTCGGAGCAGGTGGCTCGGGAGGTTTTCGCGGGAATGCAGGCCACTTCGCGGTGCCGGATCCTCCGGTTCCCCCTGCCCCCCCTGTCCCTGGGTTCCGGGTGGCCGGTTCCGGGTGGCCGACGAGTCGCCTATGGACGACTCGTCCGAGCATCTTGAGTCGAAATATGAGGACACTGTCCTCGGCTCCGATCTCTCTCACCTCGTGGCCCGGGCGATGCCACCCATCCTTGACCATTTGGGGGTCTCTTTTGAGACTCCGTGCCGGGGTGGTTTGGGGGCGGGCCTGTGGGGGCCGCCGGCTCCTACGCGACCCGCCCACCCTGTCCAGGTTGTGGGACTCCACCCGGACCTCATCCTTCGCCTGAATTCGCAAGAGAAATCTAAGCCGGTTGCCGCGACACGGCGTCTTACGGCTGCTTTTCCGGTTGCTTGAAAAGTCCTGCTAGTTTTCCGAAGGCAAACGATCCAACTTCGAACAACGTCGAAAAGGGAATGAGGATCTGTTAGGAAGACTGTTCCATTTTTTTTTCGAAGGGGTGTTCCGTTTTGGGAACAATGGCAATTAGTCGGTTATCCAGGTAAGTATCTCACTCATAGACTACCAACATCACGATTGATTTGTGTAATTTGTAGTTCCCAAATTAGAAATAAAGGGACCGATTATCATAAATTGCTTTACCTCCAGAGTTCAAGAGTAAAAATATCCTTTGATGGATTACATCATCTTGAGATTCCAAAGACAAGGCCATATGATACTGGAGAAATCAAGGTTGAAGCTAAGAACAAATACGGTCAAGTCAACTACATCACAAAATTGCAAGTCCTGCGAAGGGAAGACTTCAATATACAATTACGGCCAGCGTCAAGAGGTAAAGTGTTTAAAGAAAATCTCAGCAGAATATTTGTAATACAAAATTATTTTCTTTAGAAATGGTTTGGAATGGGCCTTAGATGACCCTTACAACCTACCTGACTAGTAAATCATTTACACAACTTCAAGACATTTTCAGCTGGCATGAAATGTTCCCTCAAGCTGCAATTAATGTAGCATGTGATCTGATAGGTAATGGTGATTTTCATTCTCCTTACCATCCCCTGGCATAACATGGAATGAGGGCTTTAATACTGCTATTGGAAGAAGCTATTGATGTAATCAGGTAGAATTGATATACATTTTCTTAAAATACATCATTAGACATCCTCATAAGGTGGTTTAATTTTCTTTTTGAAGTTAAAAAATTGCTTAATACATTTCACTATGAACATGAGTTAAAGGTAAAACAATTACTGTAACTTTTTCTCTAATGCTTTGGTGGAGTAACTTGCTCTTGTTTCTGAGCAATGAGTTCTTTTAAACATTTAATGAAATTTGCTAAGTTAATAGTGACATCCAAGCAGTAGAACAGCCAGTAAAGCTTGGTTTCCATACATTCGCTACACGCTATTGTCAACAGCTTTTGGGGATGCTGATCGGTCAGTCGAATTAGGGAGCTTTCCCGATTGTGTCAGGGATTGCAACACATTACAACGATTTGACTGAAAACACTGTAGCAACAGTGTAGTGATTTTAAGCAAACCAGGCTTAACAGGTTGTAAAGTTATTCTAAAAAGTTTCTGGTATTTTTATGAATTTTAAGTGATTTTCAGCTGTGGTCTTATAGTTACGTAATTGATCAGCAATTGAAGTTTCTTAAAGAATATATGGAGGTACCATTGGATAAAATATTTTTTAATTGAGTAATCAAAATATTTCATGAATGTACAATTATGTTTCACTTTGATAGAGGAACGAACTAAAATTCAAACTCAATTTGAAGAGCAACGGCTTGCTGCAAAGGTAGGCAAGCCAGCCACAGAACATGAAAGAATGGTTCCACCACATGCTGTCAAGCAAAAAGCCATTCAAGAGGAATTTAAACCACTTGTACAAGCTGAACTAATTACAATGATGGAAGCTGAGCCTGTAGAAGTAACAGATGCAGTCACTGTGATACGAGAGCCCGTAATAGAGCAGCAGCCAAGCACTGTTTCTCTGCCTGTCTTTAGTAATGAGTTAAAAAACAAGGTTGCCATTGAGGGAACACCAGTGATATTTGAAGTTAGGTTTACTGGAAATTACGAGACCACTGTACGATGGTTTAAAGATGGTGTGGATGTGCATATGAATCCAGATTACAGCATCACTGTGACAGAAGATACCAGCAAGCTGACCATACTAGAATCATTTACTGACGATACTGGAATGTTCTCCGTTGAACTTGGCAATGCCGCAGGGACAGTGAAGAGTGAAGCTCAACTCATTATACAAGGTATTTGCTAGCATATTTGGTATAGCTAACCCATTGTGCTGTGAATAATTCAGAAAGACAGGAAATTCTGATGACTATCCACTGTTGGTCTGTTGAAATCCATCCATAATACCTTATAAAATGTTAAGCTAATATGTTGTCAATTTATTCACATTCGTTGTTCATCTTGTAGATCATAATAAATTTATAAATTTACTAGACTTACTATGTCTGTAGCCATATGGCTACAGAACTTTCCATTTCCTTTTCAAAGACTTTTAATACTGTTTTTAGCTTTTGTAAAAAATATATAATAATTTTACATTTAATTATAATTTTATTTCAGAAGCAGTACTTGAGGAAGATGATTCAGAACCTGTGGTAACCGAAACAGCTCCTAAGTTGCTAACAGCACCACAAGAGACCTTCGTAGGAACCTGTGGAGAGCCAATCAAAATTGTCATCAAAATTGAATCTGAACCAAAGTCACAAGTTACATGGTTCAAGGTCAGAAAATTATTTTAAATTATTTAAATTTCTTCTCTAGTACTTCCAATACTATCGGATATCATAAGTAATACAATCGAATGTTATGAGTATTGTTTCTAAATTAATCTTTACAAGTAAATTTTCTTATGATCCAGAGAATTCAATTTTATTCCTTGAATGTTTCTGTAGTTTTGCATTTCGTCTGTTACATATTGAAATTACACAATGTTAATATTGCTTTTAATACAGGGAGAACACAAGTTGGTACCCACTATTCGGCAGAAGATGCTTGAAGATGATAATGTGTTCACGTTGCTTATATTGGATGTAAAACCAGAAGATGCCGGTACTTACTATTGTGAGGCATTCAATTCAAGTGGAGTTTGCCGCACTGAAATAAATGTTGTTGTACCAGGTAAAATGCAAATTATTCTATTTGTACTCTAGTTATTGCTTCTTTCCTTCAAACAAACATTTGAAAATGTATAAAAAGGCTATGGACAAGAATGTCTGATGCAACAACTAAAAATAATCTCACATTGCCTTGTGATGGACCTCTGTGTGAAATATTCAAAGAAATTATCTAAGATTTATTACATGCATCTATATTTGGTTTGGTTTGGTGAATTCAATGCAAAATTTAATATTTATTTAAAAGGTATAATTAGTTATCTATAACCTTATATTCACCAAGCGCTCTGAATATATGTATTTATAATCAAAACATTGTATTTATGTATTTAACATCATTCAAATCGTGCCTATCACGATAACCTGAGTAAACTAAAAATATATTAATATTCTAAATAAGCATTTAAACAATATCTTAGTTAATTTATTTATTATATTAGTTAATCATTTTATATGATTTAATGTGAATTAGTTATTGTCTGTTTACTAATGATTTTGTTTACTAAAGGTTATAATGTTTCTTTACAGCAAGCTCAGGTGCTCCAGAATTGGTATCACCAATGGAAAATGTTGAAGTAGAGGAAGGCTGCCCCATAGAGATAGAATGCCATGCTGTCAGCAAAACAGGTAAATGTTTTGAATAATTAAATTATGTATGTATTATATATTTAGGGCATGTGTGTTGAAACCTGGGGAAAGTTTGACAGGGATCAATATATGTCAATTCTAACTTTATCCAGACCCAGAAATCTATTTATTTATTTGTTTCAATGTTTTAAATTGCCTTAAAATGGTATTTATTTAATCTTTACAGCCACTTTCACTACTTGTGTATTGGTTTTGAAAGTGGTGCATTTACAAACAAAAAGGCAAAATAGAATGGAAGATAAACAACTTAAAGAACAAGATCTAAAAGAAGTCAATTTAAAAAGAAAAAGAATGATATTACAGTTATGTTAAGTTAATTTTTTGATTTGAAGATAATTTTAACACTTTGAGTGATATAAAAATGTTCTTTGTTATGTTGACAAATATTTTATGCTGGCATAATTAAATTGTATACTTGGCTAAGTGTTTATTTCAAATCAACACTGTTATTGAAAATATATATTGATAAGTATGGAGGGCATGCATATTTAAACAGTTAAAAGTACATACTTATTTTATTTTGTAAATACATATAAAGTACTCTATAATTATTAGCAAAATAGTTTGAAACTTAGGTTGCACACTTTACACATGACTGCACGCACAGTAAACAGTAAGGAAATGCACATTCAGTCTTATCATAAGCCCCCATTAAAAAATGTTAGATTATCATCCTAAAGGCCTGTTTACACCATGACGATAACGATCAACGATAAAAAGCAATTGTTCATATACAAAATAAAATTGGGGCCTAAGAGAAGTTTTCACTACAACAATTCATCATGTATATGATAAAGAAATATTTTCAAAAATCAAATCAAATGACGTCATAATCATGGGATAACGATAAATTGTAGTAGTATAAACGTTTTTATTGTTTTCCCATGATTATGATGTCATTTGATTCGACTTGTGAAATTATTTCTTCACCTTATACAAGATACATCATTATCAAATCGTGTATAGTGTGATAACTTCTCTTATATCTTTTATTTTGTATATGAACAATTGCCTCTTAGCTTTTATATCGTTCATCATTATCGTCATAGTGTAAACAGGCAATTATCCTCTTAGCAAAGTGATACGGGCGGGCAGAGTTTTTTTTAACTTTTACTCGAGCTAAATGGTGCAGCGTATTTGATCTAAAATTAAACCAATAGTTTTGGTGATGTCATTATTTGAATTACTGAACTTCTATATGTATTATACTTTTACATGTATTATACTTTCCCAATACATTAGAGCATAGTATACATTCAGATTTGGGAGTTGGGTTCAACTCTTACATAATATGTAGAAAACAACATGGCAGATAGAAATCTGCCAGGCTCTATTGATTTTGGTCTTCCTCCAGGTTTTATCTTGGGGCTCATTTTGTTCCTTATATACATGCGCCCTCTCATTGACATCATCCATAAACACACCATTACAAATCAATTTGTTTGGTCCAATTAACCGTTAACACGCTGCCGTGAAAATCACCCTATTTCTTATTCATTTACGCTTCTTTAAAAACATTGACAGTTTTAAGTACAAAAACTCCATACTAGAGGTTGTATAAATTAGGTTGACGGTTTATAGAAGGTTATAAATGGGTCATTCCGTGCCAACTCAACATATTTTCAGAAAACCATGGCTGGGTACCGTCTCAGATTTCTTGTAACTCGGATATAATGTGCACCGGACCCCGTTACGAAAATATTAGTTCGTAAAGACCCTAACTTATTTGGTTGCGTAATTTTTCTTCCACTTTTAGACTCCATTACAATACCCAAATCCGTTATTAAATGGGTCTTATCCCTGTGGAAAAGTATGCTTGTTGTTAAAACTTGTACCATTAATTAATTTATATATGATGATCAGATGTTTCAAATATCAGTTTGGTGTCTTTATTCCTTCATATTTAAAAAGCAATTTGAAAAACTGATTATTTGGAACATCTGATCATCATATATAAATTAATTAATGGTGCAAGTTTTAATACCAAGCGTACTTGCCCACAGAGTCAAAGGTCACCATGGAAACGAAGATTTTTTTTGTCCGAATGACCTTTTGACCTACGATTACCCCCTAAAATGATAAGTGAAAAATCCGGAATTTTTTATGGTGAAACATTTCCAACTATATATTAATAATTTGTTGGATAAGACCCATTTAATAACGGTTTTGGGTTTGTTTGTCAGACATGTTGGTGCACATTATATCCGAGTTTCAAGAAAATCTGAGACGGTACCCAGCCATCCCATTTGCTGAGTTGGCACGGAATGACCCAAATACAACTATCGCAAACAATTAGAAAAAATTGCTTTTCCAAACATTTCGCTACGTCATTTTGGAGTTGTTATAGTGTGTTTTCAGCAGGATGTGTGCTGGTTTATGACTTTGCTGGTTTATGACTAATCTGATCGCTTAGGTTGAAGTGGCAACATCAATTTGAAAGCTTCAGCTAATTGTTTCAGAAGTTCATTTGTTTGTTTTTAAATTCATTCATCATCTATCTCCACAATATATTTCGGGATTAAGTTTTACTCTGCAACATGCTCTTGTTATTTCTGGTCAACATCCGACTTAACAACTCTTTGATTTTACACCCTGACGATTGAAGTTGTGTAGGGAACGTTATTTTATGGTCGCTGCAATTAAGTTGTAAAACTTATTGCCTTTGTTTATTCGCGAATCTCTTTCTGTCACCAATTGTAAAGCACAATTAAAGACTCGCCTGTTTCTTTCTTTTCAGGTTTATAGTTTACATCTCTGTTGTATTTCCATGCCATGAGTTTTAATACCTTTAATCAAAACAGGAGGCACCCAAATTGAGATGACTCAGACTGCTGAATTTTCTTCCTAGATTTATTACTGAAAGAGTGATAAAAAATGTTCTGGATTCACATACAGTAAAGAAATCTGTACTGCAGATTACTCTAGTTTACCATTAAACAATCAGTAAACACTACAATAGGTCACTATAGACTACTACTGTTCTCTTATTGCATTGGTTATGTAATTGGTCCCTGTGGGCATTTTTAAATCATTAAATACTAGAGCTTCAAGGTGCACAGTCAAATTTCTGATACTGAGAGTGCATGGTAAAATCAAGCTCATATCATGAAATTGTGGATGTGGTTAGGTTAAGATTTTTGATTATCAAACAGTGTATTTTGTGAATTTGTAATAGTCTCTGGGAGACTTGACACCCCCGTCCCTGGAGCATAAATGAAAATAATGGAATCACCCTAGCTTGCCTATACTGTATACACCCTGCATCAATAAAATGCTTCCTCATTTCCTGCTTTCTTGCTTTTGTTGTGTACAGATGCATGAAGAAAGCTTACCAATAGTCTTATGTGATTCTAAAGATATTATTTAAAAGAAAGAGAATCATTCGGCTTTGTTTTTTTTTCTTTTACCATGTCTATACGGAAAGCTTCTTTGCTTTGTGTGTGAGAGGCCTGGCTATTGTGCCACTCATGTTGGCAGGGCACGCTGAGCAAGGTGTAGGTTCTAGGCTCCTGCCAATTTCCAGGAGTTGAATGCCACGCTGGCCACCCTGGGCCTATCTTGGGCTCACCTTCAGATATGAAAATATAAATGAGATATGATTGATTAATTGATACATTTAAATAATCTTGATCTTTTAGAGCCAACTGTTACTTGGTTTTTGGATAAAGCTATCATCAAACCATCTAAATATTTTCAAATGTTCTATGAAGATGGAGTTGCAAAACTTTACATCAATGAAGTTTTTCCTGAAGATGAGGGACTTTACACTTGTGAAGTTGAAAATGACTTTGGAAAAGTTTCGAGCAGTGCAAGGTTGCGTGTAAAAGGTATGTTCTATGATGCAGAATACTATGCTTCATGAAGTATACATCGTGCACGTAAAATGAAATTGAGTGTGTGAATTGCACGTAGGAACACTTTGCAAATCAGGCACACTTGAATAGTGAAACTCAAAGAACTTTTCATCAAATTTCAGCAAAGATATTTCACTTCTCTGGTTGATCCAGAAATATGTCACTTAGTAATAAACTCACCTCATAAACTTTTGAATTCTATTTGATGAATTCATTTTATTTGATTTGTGTATTTTTTGATTGACATATTTATTTAGGAGTGAATGTTAAGAAATATACTAAAAGCCGTAAGTGGTATGAGGAACGTCAAGCATTCTTACCATATCTCTCTTTAGATTTTCATTCCATATTTATATAATAAATGGTTTTTTGTTAAACCAATTATATATATAAAACTGATTATCAGTATATATCAGTACTTAATTATTCATCAGTACAAACTGTGCCTATCAGTTTACTTTATTATTTAAACTTAAGTAATTAACATAATATGAAAATATAATACAGTTATATTATTTCAATTTCAGTGTGCTTAAGTATTTCCTGACAAAATTTAACGATATCAATGAATATTATATTTATAATACCTTATGTTGCAATATTGACCTTTAAATTATATAATATCTTAATTTTCTAATTCCAACAAAGAAACCTTTATATTTATTTGTGTGTGTACTCAAAGATGCTGCGCACAAATATGCATGGAAATACAACCCATTTTGTACTCAATTGAATGATTTGTGATAATGATTTTTATATATCATTTCTATAAAGTAATATTTTCACACAGTTTATGATCTGCCAGCCAATAACATTTTACAGATAGCATTAATTTCTACTATTGTGTGATTTAAAAGATTTTACTATAAGTCAAAGTATTCATGAATTTGGTGATTCTTTACCATTTTATTAGGTTTTTAGTGCAATTAGAAAATATATTGTAGATCTAATATATTAAGTTTAATGAAAATATATAGTTGAAATCTATATACAGGTAGTGAATATTTAGTTTTTTTGAAGTGCAAGTTTTATTTATGTAATGACAAGCAATTTGAAACCAAAAATGATGTGAATTTGCTCAAATTTACAACTTTACTATTTAGACTTTTTTAATTATTTAAATCAGTATTTATGTTCATGGTGCTTGTCTGTCTTTCAAGGAATTTTGTATAAATCCCTTTGTATTACATTGTCAAAATTTCATCTAATTAATTGAATATTAGTATAGTATTTTAAGATTGGCAGAAACAGGTTGGCTACATAGTACCTAGCATGTTGCTAGGATATCATTTCCACTGTAATATACACAAGCATTGACTAATTAAAGAGTAGATTGTTTTGCAACTGCAATGATTGTCCTTTTAGTTTTTACTACAGTTTCCATTCATTGTATTAACAAACTGTGCACTTCACTGGCTTGATTCTGAAACACTTTCTATTTTGAGGATACAACAATTAGTATTTATGCTGTAGCTTGGTGGTTAAGGTTACCATCTACTGTAATACCTTGGACTAGGTCAAAATTCCATAAAACGGCAGAATTTTTTCATGAATAAAACAACTCTATTTTTTAAGCCTCAAAATGACCCTAGAATCCTTACTGATAGATGTAAAATAAATCTGTACAGATAAAAGTTCTTCAGTAAATATGCTAATGATAAATACAGTTTAACTGTTTAAAATATTTCAGTATTACACATTTTATCCATTGAGTGCACAGTGTTGTTGGTATGTCACAGGTCATCCTAGAATTCAGCACGCCAGACACCTTACATGTGATGGATCTTGTAAATGCTATACCATCAGTATTGTTATTGGTTCATTTATGTTATTGTCTGCACTGAATTATTGTGCATTGTTTAATTTGTTGAAATTTATTTTCAACTGATGGTTGTTTGTTTGCAAGATTCATATCTACACTGGGGTACGAACCTCCAAGCTGCTTTTACCCTTCATGTCATGCATTTCTTCAATTGAAATGGATGAGTTTATATGATAAGATAGGACCATTTGCAGTTGCATTAATTCTGTCATTTACAACTAATGGCAATTCAAATTATGAATTTTGGACAAATTGTAATGGTTTTTCCCCGTCCTATTTCAGTTGAAGAAATAATTTCAGCAGCTGAGGAGGCCGTGCCCCCTAAGTTTGTACAGAAGATCTCAAATGTTGATGTAGTCGAGGGAAATCCTGCATGCTTTGACTGTCAAATTGTTGGTACACCACAACCTGATGTGAGATGGTATAAGGATGGAACAGAAATTACACACTTGGCTGATTACCATATTGTAAATCGCTCAGATGGAACCAACTCTTTAACCATTCGAGAGACATTTGCGGAGGATATGGGTCAGTACAGTGTTAAGGCTGTAAACAAAGCAGGCAGTAACTTTTGTGAGGCTCTGCTGACAGTTCAAGGTAGGTTACACAATTGATTCTTACTTTTGGCAAAAGCAAAGGTTCAACCTTCCATAATTTCTAATTCCATTCAATATGACAAGAACTATAATATCATTCTAAAGAATTTTAAATTAATAGTTGAACAAGATACAGGATATAGGCAACACCAACAGGTATGAACCGTAATCCTTTTACTGTTTTCACTTTACTCAATATAAGTTTACACCAGTTGAGATGGAAAATATCAAGTTGCTTTAACTTCCCTTTTAAGTGGCCGGATACTTCATCTTTGAAAAAATATAAACAACTTACTATAAGAGGTATTTTTTCCTTAAAAATGGTGTGTATTATCTAATGTAAACACGATAGAGATACACAATTTATTTTAATTATGGTAAATTCAACACAGTGTTTTGCATAAATATGGTAGTGCTTATGTGTATAATTGAATGACATATGTACAGTATATTCTATTTTTGATACCATTGATATTTGTGACTGATTTATGTATTTATTATTATATTTTGATTTTGTTGTTTCATTATTTAATAATTTAATTGCAAGAACATGTACTACAATATTGTGTGTAATATTTGTAGTAATATTTGTAGTGTTATACTGTATGTACAATTTCACACATGAATGATTTAAATTTGAGAACATGGACATATCTTTGAAACATCTCCCACTGTGTTACCAATTTATTTGATTTGCATGTAGTACTCATAAATTTAGTTTTATAGATTTTGAATTGTGAATCTAATGCAGATGGTGTGATAACAATCTTATATACTTTGACATGTATGGAATACTTGTAGTTGTTTATAATTTTATTAGTTATTGAAAAGGGTGTGTCTATAGATATAAACTTTCTATTGCCTACAAGGGCTTAATTTCAATGTAGGTTCAGATTGAGAATCATCTGTATGAATTATCATTACGTACATACAAGAAAAAAAAGAACGAAAACTGAATGTTTATGTTTGAATAGTACAATACATTTTTGTTGCATGGAAAATATATGAGTGTCCAGAAATTGATCCTCTGTAGAAGAAGTACATTTTCATTAACCAACTGTTTTCAGAAAATAAAATGCATGACAATAACATTTGAAGTGATTATTGAGTTTTCTATGATGTTCACTAAAAATGTAAGTTGTCATATTTATTTGGTAGATTTAAATGATAGTTGATTTAGAATTGAAGCTAACATAATGCCTGGAATGCATGCTATGATCTTTTTGAAGTCGGCTGCATCCAGTGCAAAAAATTAACAAATGTTTACATTATATTGATTGATTTGTAGTCTAACACAGCATGATAGAATACTTTGTTAATAAAGGTTCTTTAAAAAATTAAATCGAATTCTACATGTAGACTGATATAATAATATTCACATTTGATTATTAATTGAATGATTTATTGATTGATTGACTTTTAAAATGGCCTTCACAGCTGATTTAGACAACCAAGGACCAGGACTGATAAGTTTTAGTGAGTCTTATGGTGGTGATGTCAGTGGTGCCTACAGTGCTGGTGACATGGACTCTGATGTTGATATAGATCTTGACGATATTCTTCCTTATGATGGAAGGACAGTCACAGTCTATCCAACAACCTTTGAACCCTCTGTTCCAAAAACTATTGAAACCAGCCAAGAAGCTATACCAGTGTATTGGCCAGTGGATGATCATAAGCTAGATGTTATTGACAGAGTACCAGTTAGGGTCGCACAAGACATAATCACTGAAAGCACTAAAAGGACCACTACTACTACTCTGACAAAGACTATCGATAATGTGGATGGTATACAGAAAGGTGAGTTGAGGACACCACCTGCCTTCACAAAGTTCATAAACCACTGCCGCCTGTACGAAGCAGATGAGGCAAGGTTTGATGTGGCAGTAATTGGAGATCCAACTCCAGACATCATGTGGTTCAAGAATGGTATTCAAATTGAACACTCACCAGAATTCCATGTAAGAGTAGAAGCTGATGGTTCAAGCAGCCTTATAGTTCCAAGAACACAGATCACTGATTCTGGGCAGATAACATGCCGTGCAGAAAATAGTGCTGGCGTGGCATCTTGTACTGCCAAACTTATCGTTGAAGGTAATATTTTCTCTATTTTTTGTGGAAATATTTTTTCAACAATAACAATGACCATGAATAAATATACAAATAAATATAAGAAGTGTTTAATGAAATTGATTAAATAAAATATGATATTTATCGAAAGGAGTAATTTGCAGATACCCTGTGAATGATCCACAGAACAAAACCAATAACCCATAAAAGTAAACTTATTCATTTACTGTATTTTATAAAATTGGATGTAGATAACTAAATTCACATTGACAAGCTCTCTGGATATAATAATAATAATGTCTATTTCCTGAATACTTACCTAGATGAACTGATGTAAGGCAGATTCCTAATGGAACTTACCCGCAAAAAAATATTAGTATCATCTAACTCAGGTGTATTTAAGACAATAATGTTACGTAACATGCCTCAAATTTCCTTTCGCTGTGAGCGATTATCGAGAGTTTATGAGAATGTTGTGTTTCTAGTCTAGAGTGGACACGTAAATAGTGAGGCTAACTAAATTCACATTGACTGACTATAATAATGATGTAATAGCAGCAGCTGTAACTTAGCAGGTTTATAAAACTAAAACAACTTTCCAAAATGGATTACTATCAATAAAATAATTATTTGTTTTTAAATTGTGACAGTGCTACCAAGTGATGTTGAACAAAAGATGCATTCATCATTGCTAGTTGCTCCTGAGGAGTATACGTCTGACATTGAAATTCTTCTTGAACCTCGCACCAAGATAACTCCACCAACATTCACCTCATACATGAGTAACCAGGATGTGCTTGTAGGAAGTACTGTGTCATTCAAATGCAGTGTGTCTGGCTACCCAAGACCAACAGTCAGATGGTTTAAGGTATGTTTTTTAAAATAATAATTGTAATAATAATAATTTTCCTGTCTCGATCGAACAACAATTTTACTGTTGCCTGCTATGCTGCATTATTGCCCAGCACTTCTAAGATGTAGATATCTACTAGAATCTCTGTTATGTTGTCTGCCTCTCATATAGATATTATTATTCAAAAGAGATTTTGTTTCTTATAGTTTCCTTGAAATAAATTATATGGTTTAGCTATGGATGCGGTTGCAATGCAATAACACCCGAATGACCATTTAAGAGCAATATTTATATGGCATAAATCGGCTTAAGCATGACTGACAGTGTCACTGTGAACATGTGTTGAAATGTAAATATCGGTAGTATTAAATATGCCTGTTGTAACGCAAGAGTTATTAAATTATAAAAATAAACTATGATAACCATTTACAATATAACATAATAATACTTCAGGTTAAATAAAGCATAATAAAGTATATGAAAAATAACATGAATATTCATAAAGTAATTAACATAAAATGGTTAAAATCACTACAGTGATATTATTGGCTTGTCCCACGACTGTCTGTTTTCCCCTCTTCTTCTATCCCATTTCCCTATGATTTTTACAGATTTTTTTTCTACCCTCCACATTGATCATTTTCTGTGCTCTTGGGATCACTTTCAAAGATGTGCCTAGTCTAGTAAAGTAAAACATGACTTCATTGTACATATATTATTTAATATATGAATACTTATATGTCATTTACAGAATGGAAAGGAATTGAGACCAGGCGGTCGTATTAATATCCGTATAACACAAGATGGTTCTTGCGTACTTGAGATAAGAATGATCCAATCCTCTGATGCTGCTAAGTATATGATAAAAGCATCAAATCCTGCTGGTGAAGCAACCTGTGTTGCTGATTTACATGTCAAAGGTCAGTTGAATTTTCGTGGAGCAATTTTGAAAAGTTGCTCACTAATTGTGCTTAAGGTTCCTTCTCCCTACTTCCGAATCGGCAAATTATATCCTACTTACAGAAACGTGGGTGCGCCTGTCACCTTGATTGCTTCCCTGTAAAATTAAGAATTAAAAATATTAAATTATACATCTTTTAACATAATATACAGGTAATGTAATGTAATGTATTTTATCATTTTAGTTGATATGTATGACAGTGATCTCAGTGAACCCAGACGTGAAATGAAAGTGCACATACTTCAGGACAGACTTCAACCACATCCCGGATATGTACATGTCACCAAAGAAAGAGGCCAACCTGATATAATTACACAGCAGGTTATTACCAGAGAAGGTTCTGATACCGAAGAATTTCAATTCATTAGAAAAAAAACTACAACAACTACGACAACAACTGTTACTGAAACAGTAACTGAAGAAGAATCCGCTCCTGAAGATCAAATTAGACCTGTGGTACAGCCTCTTAACATTTATCCGATGTCCTTTGCTCCACCGCCAATCAACATTAAACTGTCTTTTGAAGGTGTGCCACATGGTTATGTCCCAATACCGTATGATGAACAGTTACCCGAAGCTCCAAGGTTTGTGCAGCTTCTGCATGACACTGTGGCCATTGAAGGAGAATCTATACAACTTGAGTGCTTTGTAACTGGGAGTCCACCTCTCAGAATTTTGTGGTTCAAAGGCAAGACACCAATTGCAAATTCTCCAAATTTCCAGTATGTTGTGCAAGGAAATAGAATTTTGTTGATTTTGAGGGAGGTTTTCCTTCGTGATGAAGGAGAGTATACATGTCATGCTGAAAACAAATATGGCACTGCCACTTGCACAACAAGTCTCAAAGTAGTAGGTATGTGAATGCACTTTTTATAATGATTCTATGATATGCATTATGAAATTAGCAACATGAAATTACAGTAATCATTTTTTTTTATCTAAGAAATAACAGAAAACATAGTGTACTTGGATATTTACTATTACCAAGTTTTCTTAAGTGAAAATTATCTTCATAAATTGAGTAGAATTGTTCATCCTAGTGGTATTCTACAGGTATTCTGAAAAGCAACACAAAATAAGCCTGAAATTTTGAATAACACTTCATTAAACTGGTAGTTTAGGTAAGCTTCTTCATGATCTGTTAGCGAAAGGCTAATGAGGTTATGTAATGCATATCAATGCCATACACTACGTTCTTTTTCCAAGTTATAGTAAGTTTAACTAAAGAAAACTTGGTACTATTAAATTCATCCAGTCATAGACTACCAACATCTCTGCTGATTTGTGAAATTTTTTCATACAGTATTTTATATCATGTATACTTATTTTAAAATTTCCAATTTACTTAAAATTGTAATATTTCTTCACTGTTGTAGTAAATTGTTTGTTATCCACGATAACTAGTTTGTTAATCTGATTGGTTTCAAACTTCTAATTATGAATTCTCAGAGAAAAATCACACTCTGTTGAGGCTATACTTTTACTGCGCAGCGTAAAAGGAGCATTTCGAGTTCATTTTACACATGCTTTAACCTGTATTGCTTATTGTTTGACTGTCATCTGTAGGACTGTAAGTGCAATTGTGTAGGAAGGAAGTTTTTTTTTAGTACAGTAATATATACTCTAAATAACTGTACTGTAAATGCCTCTGCCTTTATAGTAGTGGGTCATTATGAACCTTTAAGGTTTACTATTATTAGAATCGGTCACAAACTTTGAAAGTTTAATGGTAAATGACTATTTAAATATTTTTTGTAATGTAGTTAGTTTATTTTTCAATTTTTTTAGCATACTCTTATAATGACAAATGTGTATGGTAAATATATATGGTATACAATATGGATGTGATTTATATACAAAAAAGGGCTTATTTTATATTGGATTATTTATTTCAGCCTCGAAATCTGACTTAAGTGAAGACATATCTATGCAGGATGCATACAAAACATCAAAGAAAACCACTACGATTACTGAAGAGATCCTGACTAGTGACTTGGAGAAACCAGAAAGAGTTAAACCACCGAGGTTTCTAAATGAATTGCTTGATATTGAGGTGACAGAGGGAAGCACTGCTAAGTTTGATGCAAAGGTTACTGGTTACCCTATGCCAGTTATTAGGTGGTACAGTGATGGTTTAGAAATTCAAGCAGGGGGAAGATATACCATTCAATATGATGATTTTGGTCATTGCTCACTCACCATTCTTGATCTTAAACGAGAAGACTCGGCAGATATTGAGTGTAGAGCTATCAACATAGCTGGTGAAGAGGCTTCAAGTTATGCTGACTTGATAGTTAAACCGACACAAGTCAAAGAGAAGAAACCTAAAAGAAAACGCAAAGAAGCAGGCATTATTATAGAATCTGGAGAAAAACCTAGATTTCTTAAGAAAGTTGTGGCTTGTGATGTCCAGAGAGGCAAAACAGCACAATTTCTATGTCAGGTTAATGGTAACCCTAAACCAAAAGTTACTTGGTTTAAGGATGGTAGACCAATTGTAAGCACCTCTAATGTTACTGTAACTGAAAGTGCAAATGGCTATTGCTCTCTAACAATTCATCAAGTTGAAGATACTGATGAAGGAGAATATATGTGCAAGGCATTAAATGAGCTTGGAAAAGCTATTTGTTATGCAGATTTAGTAGTAGACATCTCTGAAGATGTAAGAGCTATATCAGATGAAGATGTGGTTACTGCTGATGACATTCTATTTGAAGTGGAAACAAGTGAATCCACTTCTGTGAGATCAGTGACCAAAATTCTCATTCCAGTTGAACCAAAGAAGACGTTGGTACCCCAGGAGGTAGCTAAAGATATTGATCAAAAAGAAGTAGTTGTAATGCCTGTGTCTTTCACTGTAAAAGAACCAGACTCCCAAGCTCAACTACCAGACTATATTGAGGAACCTTCATCAGAATCATTTATGCCAACAATTGTAGTGCCACTGCAAGATGGTGTTGGCCAGATTGGTAGAGATGTTAGATTAGAATGTAAAGTATTTGGAATACCAACACCAGAAATAAAATGGCTGATGAATGGAAAACCTGCACATGGAAATCGATACATCAGTCTATTAGAAATGGATGGCACATGTATCCTTGTGATATCCATTATTAAAGATGATCATGGGGCAATTTATGAGTGCAGAGCAACAAATGTTTTAGGAACAGCATTTACAAGTTGCAAGATCATGGTACTTGCAGAAAAGACAGCGATTTCTGAAGGAATTTCTGACAGATTTTATCCTGTTGAGTTTCAGGTTAAGGTTCCTAAAATGGAAGAAGAGTCTGAAGATGCAACAAAGAGACTAGTAACAGAAAGCATTTTTAAACCGAGCGCAGTGTTAAGACAAAAGTCAGAAGTTGAAGTTGAACCTAAACAAGTGGATTCTAGGCATGGTGTGTTGGAGTTTACATTTCAAGGAAGACAGGATGCAAGAGATATTAAAGTAGAGGCTGTTCCTAAGGTTGTCAATGTGGTTTCTGAGAACTATTTCAAACAGAGACAAGTAGCTGACAGACAGAAAAGTGAAGCTTCTGTTGAACCGGCAAAAGTAGATGTTAAACGACCAGAACTTGAATTCACATTCCAAAGAGACAATATTAAAGTGGAGGCTACTCCTGAAGAAGCTATTCCTAAGGAAGTTGTCGATGTGGTTTCTGAAAGCTATTTTAAGCAGAAACAAGTTGTTGACAGGCAGAAAAGTGAAGCTTCTGTTACACCAGCAAAAATGAATTTCAAACAACCAGAGCTTGAATTCACATTCCAACGAGGACAAGAAGTGTTTGGGGAGGTTATCATTGAAGGTTCTCCTGAAGGCACTATAGAAAGCAGGACAGTGCTCAGTCATAATGGTGAATCAATTGAGACAATAACCAAGACAACAAAAACTACAGTAACTGAAACCATAACCACAATGCCAACTGAACAAGATGCTCGTCAACATGATGTTCATGAGAGACAGACATCGATTCTAGAAATCAGTGGTAAGCCTGAGACTTTTGAGCCACTTGAATTTATATTTGATACACAAGGTGCTGGCTTCTCTAAAGACAGAGAAAGGGAACACATGCCAGATGAAGAAGTGCATCTATCTTCAATTGACTTTCAAAAACCAATTATGAAAGAAATAAAATCTGATCCAACTATTGCAGAACCACAAACAATAAAAATGGCATTCCATCCACCAGAAAGAGTTGAAATTATTCTTAGTCCAGAGAAAATAGAAAAACCTTCTTTCAATATTAGTATCCAACCTGTAGACAAGAAAGAAGTACATGTTGAGACTGAGAAGGTTATTGAAGGAGAAATGCCAAAAGATGAATCTTCATTAATAATTCCTGAAGAAACTATTGATGTTGACTTTCATGAAATATTGCAATCAGTTGATAAGGCTGCAGAAGAGCATGTAGAAAAATTTTATGAACCAGAAGAATTTTCTCCAAGAGAGATGATATTTGAAATACATAAACCAGAAGCTATTGAGCAAATACAAGAAGATATCATTGAGCAAGAACCACTATTAAAATTGGATTTTGTTAAACCAGATGTGGTTGAACATAAACCAAATGCAGAAGAATTGTATCCAGTTGATAGAGCAGAGGTGAACTTAACAACTCCAAGGGTTGTAAGACCTCTAGATGATATTGACATAAGTGTTGGAGAGGATGCCAGATTAGAATGTCAAATAACAGGTAAACCACGGCCACGTATAACATGGCTGCGTGATGGCAAACCAGTAGAAGGTAAACGATTTTTTTCATTGCATGAACAAAATGGAACATGTGTTCTTTTAATAAGTCCAGTATGTAAAGAGGATGATGCTGAGTTTGAATGCCATGCTGAAAACTCAGAAGGCGTTATATCAACCTATGCAGACATGATATTAATGGAGTGTAAAACAGCAGTGACTAATGAGTTACATAAAACAGATGTGTTGATTGATACAGAAGATATACCTATACAGCCAGCAGAATTACAAATACAAGTGCCACAACCTTCCGAATTAGAAGAGCTAGTACCAGAATATGAAGATTATGTTGATATACATGAAGAACAGCTTTTAGAAAATGTACCAACTGTACTCGTACCTCTGCATGATTTAGAAGTTCCACTGGCTGGAGATGTAAGACTAGAATGTCAAATAATTGGCAACCCCCCACCAACAATATCATGGAAAAGAGAACAGGAGTCTGTCTCCGGTGAACGTTATGTAGCACTACAGGAAAAAAATGGTTACTGTGTGCTATTAATCAGTCCAGTTACTGAGCAGGATGATACAGTATTTGAGTGCAAAGCAGAAAATGTTGTAGGCACCGTATCAACCACATCTCAAGTAACTGTGACCAAAGATACCACTATTAAAGCAACGGAGATTCATGAAACTGAAGTAACTATGCCTTCCCCTGTTAAAAGTATTCAACCTCAAGAAAAGAAAGAAGTACATTTTAAGACTGAAGAGATAATTCAAGAAGAAAAAACAGATGTTGACTTATCAGTAAGTCTAGAAGAATGTATTGATGTTGACTTTGATCAAATGTTAAATTCAGTTGATACTGTTGTGGAGAGGCATGTAGAAGAATACCATAAAGCAGCAGAAGTATCTCCAAGAGAGAGCACATTTGAGATTTTTAAACCAGAATTTAGTGAGCAAACACAAGAAGAAATTTTTGATGAGCAGGAGTCACCATTAAAATTGGATTTTGCTAAAAAAGAGCTGGTTCCTATAAAACATGTGGAAGAATTGTGTTCAATTGATACAGCAGATGTGATATTAGCAGCTCCAAAGGTTGTAAGACCTTTAAATGATGTGGACATTGGAATTGGAGATGATGCCATATTAGAGTGTCAAATAACAGGTAACCCTCGACCAGATATAACATGGCTTCGTGATGGCAAACCAGTAGAAGGTGAACGATTCATTTCATTTCATGAAAGTGATGGAACATGTGTCCTTAAAATAAATTTAGTATGTGAAGATGATGATGCTGAGTTTGAATGCCATGCTGAAAACTCAGAAGGTGTTGTATCAACTTATGCGGACATAATATTAATGGAGTATGAAACAACAATCACTGATGAATTCTATAAAACAGATGTTTTGATTGAGACAGATGATGGACCTTTGCAGCCTGTAGAATTCAAAATACAAGTGCCACAACCTTCAGAATCAGAAGAGCTAGTACCAGAATATGAAGATTATGTTGAAATACAAGAAGAACAGCTTTTAGGAAATGTACCAACTGTACTGATTCCTCTGCAAGATTTAGAAGTTCCACTGGCTGGAGATGCGAGACTAGAATGTCAAATAATTGGCCAGCCAAAACCAGCAATATCATGGATAAGAGATCAGGAGTTTATCTCTGGTGAACGGTATGTAGCACTACAAGAAAAAAGTGGTAACTGTGTGCTTTTAATCAGTCCGGTTACAGAGCAGGATAATACAGTATTCGAGTGCAAAGCTGAAAATGTTGTGGGCACTGTATCAACCACATCACAAGTGACTGTAAACAAAGATACTTCTTTTGAAACAACTGAGACCCATGAAGCCAAATTAACTATGCCTTCTAGAGTAACGATTAGTATTCAACCTGTAGAAAAGAAAGAAGTACACATTAAGACTGAAGAGATAACTGAAGGCGAAATGCCAGATGTTGAAGAAGTATCATTAGAAGTAATAGAAGAATGTATTGATGTTGACTTTGATGAAGTATTAAAATCAGTTGATACAGTTGTGGAGAGGCATGTAGAAGAATATCATGAAACAGCAGAAGATTCTCCAAGAGAGATGACATTTGAGATTTCTAAACCAAAAATGATTGAACAAGTACGAGAAGAAATTATTGAGGAAGAACCAGAGTTAGTTGAACCTAAACCAGATGTGATATTGGCAGCTCCAAAGGTTTTGAGACCTCTAAATGATGTGGACATTGATGTTGGAAAGGAAGCTAGA